TGACCGGTATACTTTAGAAAAGTATACCGGTCAAACTATTACATGGTTCCATTCATCCTTGTTGATGGGTGTATTCCACCCATGACCGGTCAAAGGAGAAGACCAAATAGTTGACCGGTCAATCTTGAAAATTCTGGAAAGGGAGACTTTAATCGTCAGCAAGTGGGTATTTGATCGGTCCGAATTTGACCGGTGTATTTCGGGAAAAAGTATACCGGTCAAATTACTTATCACTCCATTCATTCCCTAAGTACGATAAACTCATCCCTCAGAAATTACCCGGTGTAGTTTCTGAGGTTAGAAAGCGTCGGCAAAATGGAATCTAAAAGGGTTTGGACAGTAGCGACCCGTGTCAGTGAAGGATTGCTGGAGATGCTTGAGGAATCCATCCAAGGAACTACCTGACAAAGGGAATAATTCCCCTCACAAGGTGACAAGGTAGCTAAGAGACGAGGCCCATCACCTCTCAACATCCGAGACACGTGCCTCCACGTGGGCGCACGTGGTCCTGTCCCCCCAAACCTAGTATAAATACGGCTGTAACTCTCAGAAGTAGGGATCCGAATTGATTCTCTCTAAACTCCCTTGTAAAAGCACCCGTGCATTCTCCGTTATAATATAAATTGGGCTACAGGTGTTCCACCTAAAGTCCTACCGGTCAATCTACGAGTTTTCGCCTTTCTTACTTTGCCAAATCAAGTAAACTATTCTAGACCCGGTCTAGTATAGTTTGACCGGTCAAGTAATTTACACCATCACTAACTAATTTTATTTTATTAAAAAATAATCATTAAATAAAAATTATTGATTATATTATAATATGAATTATCATTACAATTTTCAAAAGTTATTATAAAGTCAAATCAAAATTATTGATTTGAATTTTAAATCAAATTATAATTATTCAGATCAGACTAGATCAGATCAGACCAGATTAGATCAGATCCAATCAGATCAGATCAGAGCAGATTCAATCAGATCAGATCAGATCAGAACTTATTAAAATCAGATCGAATAAAAAAAAATAAGCTGAACGGAACAGAGCCTTAGAAGGCTCACAGAGCACTTGAAATATATTTAAAGTCCGAAGCTTAAAATCTGTGCTTCAAACAAATCAAACCTTCATTTTGTATTATTAGCTTTAACGCCTTTTTAATTAATTTCACAGTTTCATTTTAAATGAGTTTGAAACACTTGGGGTTCAAACTAGAGCTTAAAAATTTATTTTTTTAAATTCTTTAAATACACATTTTACAAAAGTAAATTAATAAGATTTCATTAACTAATTAAATTTAATTGATAATAATTCATTAATTAAAAAAATTACATTCAATAAAAAAGAACATTAAATTAAAAAAATTATATTAATTAAAAAATAAAACATATTATATTTAACCTTGATCTCGTTTTATCTTTTCTCGTAATATATACGTTTGAATCCCGCTAATATATCAAAGTCGATTTCTATTTCTTCGAGCTCCTTCTCTATCCCCTTGTCTTCGGCTCTGTTCCGTACGCCTGATCTGATTGAATCTGATTTGAATTTTTGAAGTTCTGATCCGATCTGATCTGATTGGGTCTGATCTGATCTGATTAGATCTGATCTGATCTGATTAAATCTGATCTGATCTAATCTGATCTGATTGGGTCTGATCTGATCTGATTGGATCTGATCTGATCTGATTGAATCTGATCTCATCTGATTGGATCTGATCTGATCTGATTAGATCTGGTGTAAATGAAATTAAATTTGATTTAAATTAAACTTAAAATTATTACAAAATTTAATAGTTTTAAAGTATTACAATTCATATATACATAAAAAAAGTAAAATAAAAAAATCAGCTAATCATTAATATATTTAAATTTTTTTTAAAATATGAAACATCTTTTCAATACCACAACTTTTTAAAATTTGTGTGAAAACTAAATAATCGGTATTAAAATAAACAAATATTAGAAAATATTGATGCTATTCTACAAAAATATCACATTGTATATACATATTACATAATAATATATTTCATGTTACAAATTAATGATCATATAAAATAAACACTAATATCGCTTTCACCTCTATCAATTTTGTCCTAAATTCACCCTTGTGTATATTATACCATCTTAAAGTTTAAAAGTAAGTCTTTTTAAGTATAAAATATTTATAGTTTTGAAAACAAAGTTTTGTATAATTATTTTATAAACAAGTATTTTAAAATAAATCTTTTTAAAGTATGAAAAATAAAACTTTTAGCTTTAACATTGCTTCCATGCATCATTTCTATCCTACAAGCTAAACAATTATTTAAAATAATGGTTTGTAGTTGAAATATAATAATAATAATAATAATAATAATATAAAAACAATAATATTTAAAATTATAACATTAATNTCTTAAAGTTTAAAAGTAAGTCTTTTTAAGTATAAAATATTTATAGTTTTGAAAACAAAGTTTTGTATAATTATTTTATAAACAAGTATTTTAAAATAAATCTTTTTAAAGTATGAAAAATAAAACTTTTAGCTTTAACATTGCTTCCATGCATCATTTCTATCCTACAAGCTAAACAATTATTTAAAATAATGGTTTGTAGTTGAAATATAATAATAATAATAATAATAATAATATAAAAACAATAATATTTAAAATTATAACATTAATTAAGATTTAGGTGTGTGTAGTTTTAAATAAAGTAATGTGATTTAATCAAATAATAGTAATTATTATTTAATCCTTGAAAAAATAAATATTATCTTTTGTATTTTTTCTTGATTTGATATTATTGGATTTGATCTGGTCTGATCTGATCTGATTGGATCTGGTCTGATCTGATTGGATCTGATCTGATCTGATTGGATCTGATCTAATCTGATTGGATCTAGTCTGATCTGATTGGATCTGATCTGATCTGATGGAGTCTGATCTGATCTGATTGAGTCTAATCTGATCTGATTGGATCTGATCTGATCTGATCTGATTTTAATAAGAATAATTAATAAGTAGAAAAAATAAATCCTACGGAACGGACCCTTACTCTCTTCTTCTCTAAGATTGAACAACTGGATTTGTTCAACCATTTACCGGTTGATATCATCGTGAGAGGAAACAGAGTCGGACCCAAAACCCGAGATAATTGATTTTGCCTTCTTTCTTTGTCATCGAAGTCATCTAGGTTGACAGAAGGCCTTTGTTCTGACGAGCCGATAGTATCCTCCGTGTCAAAACCTTTAATATATATATATATATATAATGAACGGTCGGTTACAAGCAGGGGGCCCGAGGCCCGTTAACCTCGTGACTACCTTGGGGCCCGTTAACACCCGAGATAGATAGCCCACTATAGAAAGCACAAAGTAAGCCCAATCTAAAGCCCAGCCCCATAAGCCCAAATCTACTTCCCACGGGGTCACCCATCATTTCTGCTACTCCCATGCCAGCACGTTTAACTCTTTAAAATTCTCCAAAGTTGCACCTTCTAGGGATTGAACCCGGGTGGTGTGGTTCGCCAATCAACCCTGTGACCATATATATATATATATATATATATATATATATATATATATATATATATATATATATATATATATATATAATTTAACAAAAGTTGTTCTCAACACAGCGTAGGTTGACGTCTCAAGTGAAAGAAGGTTACATCAAAGGAGACCGAACAAAGCATATATCACCAAAGTTCTTCTCAACACATGATCTCGAGAAAGAAAGAAAAGTTAACATCAAGCAAATTAAGTCCAGTGAGAACCCCGCTGATTTATTTACAAAAGCGTTGCCCTGCGAAGAAATTTGAAGAACTCGTACACAAGATTGGCATGCGTCGCCTCCGTCAATTATGCTAAGCTAAGGGGGAGAATTTTATGAATTGTACTCTTTTTCCCTTGATCAGGTTTTTATCCCATTGGGTTTTTCTGTCAAAGTTTTTAATGAGGCAGTACATAAAATTAGAATGAGTTTCTAAACTATACCTATTTCACAAAATACCCATCATCAATTGAAAAATGAATTTTCAAGAGGGAGTGTTAAGAAAAATATGAATTGTTCATTTATCAATTATAATTAGGTCATGCTCCATCATAGTTGCAAGAACAAATTGTTTATCATCACCATTAAGTTATCATTTGTATAGTATGTATACTATTTGTAATAGTGCTACCACTAAGCCTCTTTACTATAAATAAGAAGCTTAGGATCCCTGCAAAATACCATTAAAAACAAGAAGAAGAGTGAAGAATTAATAGAGAAAAGAAATCAGAAATATATCATATTATTCTCATAATCTCTGAGTAGTTTTTCTCTTATTTTATAACATTACATCATTTGTTACACTTCATCTCTGTTCAATTCTTTTTTTGTTGCATGAAATAGTAACCTGAATCTTAAGAAACGAAAAATTATATGATTGAATTTAGGAAAAGTGGAACATCAAATTACCAACAAAGAACCATAGATGCCCTGGTCGGGCCGGTCGTTATAATATCAAAATTAACGATGTCTAAGAGATTCCACCCCTGGCAATTAGGGAGTATGTTTTACTAAAATTAAAAGGGTGAACCTCAGCCAAACAAAATATATTGCTGGATATCATTGCATGTGCAAATATTATTGGATTAAAAAGCTATTGATACAAAGGCATCAAAGGGATGGCTAACATGAAAGAATTACAAAGGCCTGCTATTGTGCAATGATCAATTTAGACTTCCTAAGCTGCAGCTAATCACTTGAAACCATTGATGAAAACTTGTTAAACATCGAATAACTAAGAGATCTGCTCTGTTTGTGGCACGTGCATGAAGAGGAACTGCAACAAAGGACATTGTTGTCATTAATCACAAAATGTATATATAAACTTCTCCAAAAACAACCAGAGAGAATTAATAGAGAAGAGCCACTTCTCCATCAGCAAGTAAACTACGGCAATGCAGGTGGTTGAAATGGATCGGTGGTTGGTTAAGTACATTTGAAACGGATAAGCGTTAATTGAAACGGATCGGTGGTTGTTATCCAAGTTAATTGAAACGGATCGGTGGTTGTTTAAGTACATTTAACACCAGACCCACATTTCACATGTTGACTTATGCTTCGAATGATGACATCACTTCCACAGGGATGGATACTATGAAATCTAGCTCTCATCATCTTGAAGAAGAGAAGATCATATCAAATTCTTATTTTTCTCTTTTTATTATTTAGATTTTACCTGTTTACTAGATTACCAGTCACTTGGTATCATTTAGGAGAGATTACCTATGAAACTTCGCATTATACTAGAGCTTCACATGTTTGAATTCATTGGGCAATTCCTTCTTCAATTAATTACCTCAAATGATCGACCTGATCTCTCATAATCAAGCATGCTGAGAGCAACCTCACAACTTTGGGAAACAATTGAGTCGCTGTCCTCGACGAATTCCTCAAGGAGAGCAATACATTGATCATCTACAAGACACAACAGCACAACATAAGACGAGAAGAGAGAATGGTCCTCCTAGAGGCTTTGCTTGAAAGGGAACTTCAGTGTTTCAGAAGGAAATCAGGACATTGTATTTTATGAAAAGAAACTCGGCATAATAAAATCATCAAAATTAAAACATACAATCACAAGTTGACTACTGCAATGACAAATTAAAATCAACAAATATATTTACTGATGTGTCATCATCCTACTCTGGCGTAGCAGATAAGCCAAACACAGCCCAACCCAGTAGGAATTGTTTTTGTATGTGCAAGTTTTTAACTTTTTTATTACAATTATTTTTATAAATGTACTCCCTTTGTTAATAAATTCATATTCAGTTTACCATGTTTGACTAAAGTTATTTTCAATTCATTTTATTTAAATACTACTACGTACTATACTAGTGTACTTTAAAAAATACATATTTAAAAACTACATCAAAAGTTTTATAAAACAATTGAAACAAGTAATGACGAGACTATTTTGTCGGAACAAATTATTAACGTATATAAGAATTCTTATCGGCACCCTTCTTTTGACAACAAGCCATAAAATCATATTATGACAACTCAAATTGGAGCACCTACCCCCTAACTCCCCCCCACCCCCAAACATAAGATCGCCAATTTGGCAGCCAATTATTGGCAACACGGAGACCACATAAAATTTAGGGGAAGGGGGATTTTTTTTTTTACGTGATTGTGACACAGATGTTGATTTAGGGATGGGAATTATTATCTTTTGCTCCACACCAAATTTAAAATTTCAAGGGTCTTAGCTATGCCAAATTGCCAATGACATCATGTAATCTTAGTGCAAGCAATATCATTTCAATTATAAACAAAGAGAAAAAAGAATAACACAGTTTGGATATTCATATAGAATCCAAAGTTAAGTTGAAGTCAGTAGAAAAATGCAAGCATTATTCGTCTAAAACATCTCAAAGTTCTACATAATTCAAACTTATAGCACAGTGATATACTAATATTAATTAATTGTTCCTTCTAAAAAACACAGTGATATACTAGTATTAATTAATTGTTCCTTCTCAAAAAAAGGACGAGCTATTATAGTTACAATAGCAACATGGAGACAACAGAATACATCTTGCAGAGAAAGAGGCCGAACCTGCAATAGAACCAAGTGCTTCAGCTGCTTCATGTCGAACCATAGCATGTTCATTTCTGTTCTTAAGTGTCATAGATAAAGCCTCTGAAGCCTTTTTGTTCTGTAACTGACCTAACACATATGCAACCTGCAAAAAAACAGTAGAGAGAGAGAGAGAGAGATCATGAAAAACGCAAATTAGCTGTCACAGGAAATACATATCAATATATTGTAAACAAACAATCAACAGAAAATAGCTACGGAAAACAGACCTCATGACGGAGTAGAGCACTGTTTGCACCTAACGATTCAATAATTGCAGAGATAGCTTCCTCTCCACCATTATTTCGAAGTGCAAAGAGAGCAGCATAACGTTCATACATACCTTTTTCTTCACTTAAAAGAACTTCCCTATGGACAAAGGAATAAAAATTTCATTCATAAACCAATAAAATCTACACTTACAATTGCTATAATGCTAGGCAGACAAACCTAAGGTGTGGTACAGAGGAACAAGAAGCAGGTGTGGCTGGGTCAACCGACAGAAAAGGGGATGGCTCCAATGATGAGGTATCATCACTACTTTTAACATCCCTTAGCCCCTTGATTCGACTAAGGGCCAGTTCACATGTTTCTCGTACTTCTTGAGCTGGATCTGAAGCCAAGCTTTCCTGTAGAATGGGAATAATACAGTCTAAACCAATTGCACCAAGTGCTTCAGCAGCCTGTGGATGTTCCATACAAACAGAAATTAGCAGGAGAAACATCAATATTAAGAACGAAAGTAGTTCACACTTTAAAAATGATACCTCATGCCGAACAATGGGATGCAAAGAAAGATCCTTCAGAACAGCTACCAAAGCAGGGATGGCATCACCATCTTGCATCTGACCCAATGCAAATGCAGCCTCATGAGCTAAGAGGTTTGAAGAGTCCCTAATTGCTACAAAGAGCAAACTAAACATAAGAAGCTGAAACCTAAAATCCTGCAACAAGCTACAAATCAATGCAACATTGCAACTAGTGTATAATAGTTGTAGCCCCCCCCCCCCACCCCACATTATGAGACTTGACAGGGTTGTTGTACGAAGTATAATGAAACCTGAAATCCTGCAACAA